AAGCAGGGCTGGCAGGGAGGGCAGCAGGGCTGGCCGGGGAAGATCCAGAGCAGGAACCAGCCAGCGGGCAGCAGAGCTGGCAGCAGGGTGGGGGGGGAGGTACTGGCCAGGGAAGACTGGGAGGAGAAGTCAGGGAGAATCAACCAACCAGCTGGCTAAGAAGGGGCGGGGGAGCGGAGCAGGACTGACCTGGGCTGTGCAGATCCCAGGGTACTCCCATCCCACGTGAGTCAGTCAGGCTGTGGCTCCACCATGCGCTTGACCAGCACTCAGGAGCACGGACCGGACTGCCCCTCCGCCTCCTCACACGCAACCAGGGCTCCCAGCGCCAATTGCGCCCCGCCTCCCAGTCACTCCCTCTGCCCCCGCCAGGCTTCCGTCCGGTGCCTCGCCGGAAAACCAGGAAATACCGGTCACTGCACGTCCGGTATTTTCTGGATTTTTTTTTGCTGGGCAAAGGGCCCAAAAATCAGACTGTCCAGTAGAAAACTGGACACCTGGCAACCCCATTGGCATACAAAGGAACTCTCCCTAGAAGGAGCCAGGAATACAGAAAGAAAAAGTTTTGCAATGCCCAGGAAAGATGCCATTTGTAGTAAGAAAGGTCCAGCCAAGCTGACATTACAAAACAAGATGGATCTATGTTTCTGTGGCTTCAGGCCCTCTTATGGAATAGTATGTTAACAAAATTCCCTGATAAAACTGGGGTAAGGAGATGGTGTCCACACCCATCTACCAATGTTAATCACAATCACGTAGCGAGGGAGGCGGGGGACTTTCAATTTTAATGTATACTCAGCAGGCCCCTGTGTGGTAGCACAGTACTATCTCTCTCCAATGGGGAAGGGAGGCACAGAAAAGCTAAATGATTTCCCCAAGGTCGCATGTGGCAAATAGAAACTGGAACGCTCCTCTTCTGAGAACCATGCTAGCACTCTAAGTACCGGACCATTCTTTTAGAATCTGGTTTGTCAAAAGTGGCCAAAAGTGTGCGAGAACTGTTTTGTTGATGGTGTCTTTTCTTCAACATTTTGAAAAATATCTTTTATGTTTTTATGTTCTACAACACAGAGAAGAAAATATGGAGAGGACTGTGGAAGAGCTCTACTTATACAAAGGTTGTCTTCTGAGTTATAGTATTTCACAGACATAGGCAGATGAATAGGACCCAAAGGCTCCATAATGCGTTAATATAAATATAACTAAAGATAAGCATGTTTTCTTCAACATTTTGAAAAATATCTTTTATGTTTTTATGTTCTACAACACAGAGAAGAAAATATGGAGAGGACTGTGGAAGAGCTCTACTTATACAAAGGTTGTCTTCTGAGTTATAGTATTTCACAGACATAGGCAGATGAATAGGACCCAAAGGCTCCATAATGCGTTAATATAAATATAACTAAAGATAAGCATGAGAAT